ACCTCCAAAAAGAACAATGCTTAATGAATTTCCTATTGCAGTGTCCCAGAATTTAAAAAAAATAATTTTGAGAATCAGACTGAACTGATTTGTGACAATACCTGACAATTCAGAAAAATCCCATCCACACCTACTTGTCTGCCAATCACTTCAGCAGCACTGTATTTAGTATTAGCAAGAAAAGCTGGCCAGAAAAAAAAATATTTCAGGCAGATAAATAAATGAAAAAAAGTAAAACTCAGCAAAATGTAAGGAAACTAATACCTGGGGGGAAAATGTAAATATGTTTTCTGTAGTCATGAAGATTTGTTAAGTCTGCTTAAGGGCTAAATTGGGAATTATGCTGTACAGCTGCAGTGGGAATATCAACACAAGGTACCAACACAATCAAAGGCTACATATACACCATAGCCTACCCAGTACAGGAGTGGCTACAGAGTAAAACAATTGCTGCAGAGGCTCTAACATCCCCACTGTATGAGGTCCAGGGTGTTTGTTTTGGACTGGCTTCTGACTGGTCCCATGGAACAAAAGCCTGCTGGCAGCTGGAGAAAATCTCCTGGCATAATTTCATCCAGAAGGAGCCTAGTTCACATGCTTAAGCAGTACTTGGAAATATGAATTGAAGAACATAAAAGGCTGTTTAAAGAGATCTGCTTTGGCAGTGAATTCTTGATCAGAATTAAAACATTATTGCAATACACATGCTAGTACAGAAAGCACTTTTGTTTAAGCATTGGTCTCTTGCAAGGGAGCTTAAAGGTCCCTTGCAAGAGACCAATGCTTAAACAAAAGTTTTTATTTTCTGGTTAACAAAATAAATCTAGTAAGAAAGGCACAATGATTAGAAGTTCATACATATAAAATCTCCCAGTTTTAGAAAAACTGGAGATACCTGATCAGTGGGAAGGCAGCTGCTGGAACAACGAATGGGAGGCAAGTTATCTTGTCTTTCATTTGGTGTGTCTGTTCTCAGGAGCTGTGATTTCTTATCATCTTCATTCATTTCTGCCAGCCAGCTCTGGAAATAAATAAATAATATTTTTTTTTACCTTAAGGCAGTAGAGCAATTATCCTTAAAAAGCACTGCTCTTAATGGGGAAAAGCAATTAAGACAAAGAGCAATAGTGCTTTTTTGAATAAAAAGTGATCTGCAAAAAAAAACCCAACACGTAGAGTTAAAATGGGCAGTTAATGTTCAGTGACATTAAGCAAAAAATAAATTTTAAAACATAATCCTTTGATAATTTCCTCTTTTAATCAAATAATTATATTCTACTTAGGCACAAGAATATTGATACATCACAGTGATTGTATTATGGCCTACTATAAATGAGATCCTGTACCATCAGTTCACTATTAATTGCTTGCCATTCTTCAGCTGTGAAATCAGAAGCTGTGGCTGCAGGCTTATCTTTCCTCAGAGCTCTGCTCCTTGGATCCAAACACTCAATTCGCTTCTCACAAACCATCGTCAGTTCAGGGTAACACCCCTCCTCCCCAGACCTTTAAAATGCAAAGATAGAAATGTTAACAAAAAAGAACTGCACCACATCCTCCATGTTCCCTCCATGTGTAGTCCATACAGTGACTGCAGAGGACTATTTTCCTGTTACAACCCAATTTTACTAACACCTAATAACATTTTTATTAGAAAATCCCAATTAACCTTCAATCATTTTCCAATGCCCACATACACTGTTCAAAAGTTCTCACCACAGTGCTCATTAAAAAGAAACTTGTGTCATTTAAAGCAAAAGTTAAACAGATGTGGCATCTGAAATTGCTAATCATGCAACATGGATCATGAGGGAACCAAAACAGAGTGGCAGCATTTAAAAAAACCTAGCACTGTGCTACTCAAACTTTTGGATGGTTAAAAAAAGACTTGGATTTCTAGTGTTATCATTGGGACACTTTGAGCATGATCACTTTAACTTTGTACTTTAATTTTAAATTAGAAAGTCACAGACAGGTTCAGACAAATAGAAAAGGGTTCACTCAAATTTTACAGAACAGGAATGTAATTATTAATGAAGGTAAAAAAATAAATTTACCTTAATACCCTGAGAATCTTTTCCAGGTGCTTAACATCTGTGCATTTTTCAATGAATTTGTAGTCCAGATGACTAATAGGTATTTGATATGTTTTAGTGGTTCCTTCACCCAGAAAATATGGTACTGATGCATCACCCATAACTAAATATTAAAAGAAAAAAAAAGTGATTCTGTAAGCTTCTAGTTACATTTTGAAGTAATGCAAATTTAAGGAATAAAATTGCTCACTCGCCACTGTCTCATGCAAGCAGACCTGTAAAAGAAAAAATATCAGATCTGAAGGCCTGATCACATTAACTGTTGCTGACTAGAGGCTTACTGACAGAAGTATGAGATGTGCTTTTTAAGAGTATGCAATTCTACTGCAAGTCAGAACAATTCAGAAAGACCTCTTAAAGAAAAATTGCCCATTCTTACCTATCACATTCTCTATTTTATTTAACACATACCTGTTTTAACCAAGTGGGATAATCACAAAGGAGAAGATAGTGAAGGACACTCCTTTTTTCAGAGGGAAGACATTAACCAATGCAGCATATCTAAAGGAACAAAAATCTTTGGCTTTTCTGTAGACAAAATAAATTCAATTCTCTTTCCTCAATGACTGCATTTTCTGGGTCTCTGATTATATTACACACGAATCTGAATCTTTTCCAGTAAGTCTGTTAATGAAGAAATGAGGGATTCAAATAAGATATTTCTGTCTCCCTGTCCCTTTGATCTGCTCATGTGCATCTTTTTCTGTATTGACCACAAGCTCTAGGGAGCTGAAATCTTCTCCCCCCCCCCCCCCTTTTACACAGTGCACGAAGCAATCAGTTAATTTTGAAGAAATACAATAAGGGCAACTAGCTAGTATGTGAAAACAACTATGTGTAGTTATAAACCAAATTAAAATAATTGTGTTCTAATGTCTTGCATAATTACACACATTAATTTGTAGTTACACAAAAAACGTTTACAATACAGTATCACTTAAATAATAACTGGTCATAATTAGGTGCTGCACAGAGATTCTGCCCCAAGACTTTGCGGTTTCAGTACTGGAAAAGGAAGAAGTCGCATGGAAAGAGGGACAAATGTAGGAAATAATTAAAGAAGAATAGAAGAATTAAAAGCTCATCACCACCGGCGGTTTTTCCCGTTTATTCCCGTAGCCGGGAAGGAGCTGCCCGGCGTAGCTCTCGGGCACCGCGGTGACCAGGGCTCCCGGTGACACAGCCCGGCTCCAGTACAGCCTCCCCGCACACCCCTGGCAGGATGGGGGCTTTACTTCCAGGCCGGCCCCCGGGCTGCCCTCACGCCGCGCCGGAGCCGGGGCAGCGCGGCGGGCCCGTGCCTAGCAACTGTTGCTATGTACAACATGGCGCCGGGGACACGGTGCCGCCCGCCCCAGGGCTGCCCAGCCGAGGCTCCCGCAGAGCCCCGCCGGGCTCCAGCGGCCACACTGCCGTCGCCCATCGGCACCCACCTGCCCGGGGCCGCGCTGTCTCCGGGACACGGACGCGGCCCTGCCCACACCGCAGCCGGGGGCCGCCCGGCCCTCGCCCAGGCCGCGCAGGCGCAGCTGGGCTCAGGGCGGGGATCTGGGCTGAGGGGAGCGCCTGCCGAGGGCGGGCAGAGATGCCCGGGGGTGCAGCTGTGGTCAGCATCATCCTGGTGTTTCAGCATAGTATTTCACTCAGCGGAGAGCAAGCGGTCCCTCTCCCGCTGCCGGTGTCCTCAGTTAAATGTTGCCCGTCAGCTCTGCACTCCCCCAGCGCTGCTCTCCAAAGGTCCGTGCCCCTTCCCGAGGGCACTGGAGGCTCTTCGCCGCCTTAGTCCTGCAGACAGAGGCACCCGGCCTGCCCGCACGGGGACCAAGCCCGCCTCCGTTTGCCGGCGAGCTTCGGCAGCGCTGCTGCCGCCCGCTCCTCCTCACCCTTCCGAGCAGCCGTGTCACAGCCGACCCCTTCGTTCTGCTGTGCAGGCACAAGGTGCACGCTGCGCAGGCCAGGCTGGCGAACTGCTGGCAACTGTGTAGTAAAAAAAGGTTTTCATTTATACTCGAGTGTATCTAGTCTTTGTAGCATAGATCAGGTACCTAAGAAAATCTTAACCAAACAGCTCCAAAACAGCATCTCAGAATGCTCTTTTTATCCCCTATACCAAGCCACTGCGGTTCATTTACAAGTCATCACACAGTCATGCAGACCTTAAAAAAGATATTATTACAGTGATGAGATAAGCAAGTTATCTCAGCACCGTTAGCACCATCAAAACGGAGATCAGACACACACAGTCCAGCAGTATGCTGTAGTACCCTTCAGTAGTATTACGTAACACACATTACAAGCAGACAGATGCAAAAAGTTTTGGCTCATCATCACAAACCCACCACTTTAAATTACAGACCCCTGAAAAGTCATCTGAAAAGCAAAACAAGATCCCCCTTTTTTGGGGTGCTATCCAAAAAATCTTTGTAACACAGATCTAATTCTTTCCTTGAATACAAACAAGTCAAACAACACTTAAGAAATTTCTATTTCCACATTGCTTCTTAATGTTTAACTTGCCTCCCTTTCCCTCTTCTTTCAGGAGAAATGATTTTTTCTTACTTTCAGACATCCATACTTTTGACATGTCCACAACTGGGTGCCAGAATTGGGTGCTCTCATGTCCTTTAAGATTTTCTTTTTTGAAATCCAGATCTGTTTCAAATCTAGCCTTCTATTCATTTTCAGTAGAATTTATTCAAACCACAGTTATTTTACGCAGTTCACTGGAGTCCAAAGAACATTTAGCAAAGTTAAAATGCAAATAAAGTTTAGATGAGAGTAATGAAAACAAAGATAACTCAAAAAGAATACAATTATCACTGAATTTAAAAAACACTGCCTACTTTGACTACAATTTAAACAACAGCTTTAGAAATCTACTGATGGAAGACAATATAGACAAAATTTAGTTTTACAATGAACTTTAATATTTCAATCTCTTAAAACACAAATAAGAGCGTGCATTTACACACAGTTTTACAGAACAAAGTTATCAGAAAGATTGTATCATGAAGTCACTATCTTCAGCAGACATCATCGAGCATCAAAAACGACCACTGGAATAATGCAGTTAAAGAAAAAAATATGTTCTGGTTGAAAAAAAGATGGGGGAGAGGAAAAGAGACTGTCTAAATCTAATCACAACTTTCTACATAAAGTATTTCAAAAGTCATTTTTAGTAAGATGCTGAATAATATCAACAATTCACAGTATGTTACCCAGCAGATTATAGTAACTTAATATAGAAAGAAAATGGGGAAAAAAAAGAGAAAGTGCCAGAAAAGAAATCCAGGTGCCAAATAACACTGCAGAGATTGTGCTATAGTAGCTTGCTGTACTGTATTGATTTCTGACCCTGAAGAATTGCTATGTGATTTTTTGAATCTTCTGTTCTGTTTCCTCTTGTCTCCATCCACAGCTTTCCAAAGGCATTCAAGTGCACTTGTAAAAGGATACATCTTTTTGTCCTTTTCTTGTACATTATTCTGTAGCCACATTCTCTGCACCTGATAGGATCTCTTGCCTTTATTTCATTTTCTGTATGACATTCTGATGTTATGGAGGAAGAAAAAGGAAATGGGGGCAAAGAAGAACAGCACTGTTAATGCACAGATAAGTTTGAAAAGGTGTGATAGTCAAATTCCTACTTGTGGCAAACAAACATAGCAAGTGTAATTAATCTATATCAAGAGCTCAATGGTAACAAGATACCATGAAAAAAAGAAAAAAGAGAAAATAAAAAGCAAGCTTCATTTACATTAAGATAAAAGAGAATCTTGCTAAAATCACCCAAATATTCTTGCATAGAACACATTCCACACTTGATTCTAGATAGTCTACTAATGAAAATTTCAGTTCATCCCTCCAAAACCCAAAGTCTATTGCCTTAAAAGACAAAATATTCCAGGGATTCCTGAAAATCACCATTTTTTAAGTTGTTGATTTATCTATAGGTAAGAGAGAATTTGACTACTGTACTTCAGGAAAACCTGAGTGCTCTTACAGCACTGTCAATAAAACATACAGAGATCAAGGAGCTCCACGCAGCAACACAAGCTCTAGGGAATTATCTCCACAACACTGTGTATGTACCTCATATGTGTGTCACCATCAATGCATAAAGCTTTAAACATCATCAGGACATACACTGCAACTACTTCTATCTACCCTTCAGTATAATGACTAAGCACCATTCATTATTAAAACACCAAATCTCCAGTAACAAGTAATAAAAAAATCAGCATTGTCTTTTCTTTACCTCCACAAATGTAAATCATTGGCTGCTGCTTTGGAGGCTGAACATCCTTCTGTGAATCCATGTTCTAAAATAAAAAATACACAACATGCACATTAGCTTGGGTGTGGGGTTTTTTGGTTCGTTTTTTGTTTCCAAGGCATACACAATCACTTTAATATCTCAAGCTCAAGATAAGAGAACATGAAATCACTTCCTTAAAAGTAAATTTATATTTGATGCACAGGACATGGGTTAATTCAGGTTGAAAGAGACTTCAGAAAGTCATTTAGTTCAACTTCTTAAAAGCAAAGTAACATCAGGTTCCACAGAGCTTTACCACTCTGGTATAGAAAACCTCTAAGGATGAGGACAACACTGTATTTTCTATTAAACAGTATTTTAAACATTAAAGACTAATGAGTAATATTTTTTTTCCTCCTTCCTGCCAATGTTAAGAATTTCCTTGCTGGAAATATAAAGTTCAATAATTTCTTATATGCCACTCCTGTAACAATGGTGCTAACAAAGAAGGTAAGCCTTGTCACCTTTCCTCCTCCTCTGACACACTAGCTAACCTGATACACTATTTGTTGTTCTAAGGTATTAGAAATACTGGGAATAGACTGTGGGTAAAAGAGTAGCAGAAAATAAAATGCAAAACAAAACAAAACCCAAAAAACCCAAACAATGAGTGGCCATAGATGAAATTCAACCCTTCAAATCCTACCAAATCAAGAGTAATAACTCAATGTTATTCTCCAAACACCTCTTAATGGTTTTGATTGTTCAGACTTTAATTTAAAGACAAGTATTTCTTCATGGCATCAGACTAAATAGTTACATATACTCCACAAACACTCTACCAATCTTTAAGTAATCCTATCCTAACATGTAAATGTCCTTGCAACCATGAATTTTAAGGTGGTTACTGTACATAGATAAACACTTTTTCCCCACCAAATTTAAGTCTAGACAAGAACACGAATATTTCCTATTAAGTTTTTTGAGGCGGCTGTTTTCTGTATTGCTGTTCTGACACAGAAAACAAGAATTCCTACCCTTATGCCAGTAAATAGCCTTCTTGATGCTTCCTTATGAGAATGGATCTCTGATGCTTTTGCTTACAGCAAATATTATTTCCCTCAGCTTCAGAGTTTGTTTCAGCATAAATTCAGCTGGGAAAACTATGATACTGAAAACAGGGCAGAGACATTTCATACTTTAGGAGTCTGATCAACACTTGAAAAACCATCTTTTTAAAACTCCCACTATGTCACTCCGTTTAGGAGAACTGGAAAGAATCCATTAAACTCTACAGCTTTCAAGTATGCTACACCATAATCATAGTGGTATTTTAACTCACATGTGCTACAGTTTTTTGTGTCAGCACGTTGCAGTAAGATATGTGCAGCCACCCATTACCTGTGGAAAACAGCAGACTCAGAATTCTAAAACACAGAGCTGAACTAAGGTGGATCAACGTTGTAGCTAAATAACCTGGGTTAGTGCTGCTTGTGCAGCAAAATTACACTGCTGCTAAGGGCAGCAGTGAATTACTGTTCTGTGTTTTACATAGTTTAGCTGGCCTTCACACACCCTGCAGCCCTAAGTGCCACCAAGCTGGCAGAGCCAACAGGCCCAGTGATGCACCAACATGTGCTGGGGTGAATCCATTGCAGAGACATGGGGTTACCATGTGCAAGAGCACTTCAAATCACAGAATGGGAAAGGCTGGAAGGGACTACAGGGTCATCTGATCCAACTTCCCCACTTAAGCAGGACCGTTCTAGACCACATGGCACAGAAGTGCACCCAGATGGTTTCTGAGTACCTCCAGTGAGGGGGACTCTGCAACCTCTCTGAACAACCTGTTCAGTGCGCAGTCACCCGCACTGCAAAGAAGTTCTTCCTCCTATTCAGGTGGAACTTCCTGTGCCTCAGTTTCTGCCTGCTGCCTATTGTCCTAGTGCTTGGCACCACCAAAAGGAGCCTGGCTTCATCTTCTTGGCACCCCTCGCTTCAGATATTTTTACGCATCAATGAGGTCCTCTCTCCGAGCATCTTTTATGCACCGGTAAAAGAGGCCAACCCGCTACTTCACGTCCCGCAGAGCCATGAAGGAGAAGGGCAGATAGCCCTCTCAGCCCACGGGCCGCAGGCCCCCCATCCCGGCCCAATTCCGACCTCCCGCACCGTCCCGCGGGTCTGGCACGCAGAAGCGAAGCCCACGAGCCTGGTCCCGGCCTTTCCCTGCCCACCACGGCCGCACCAGCACCGCCCAGCAGCGAAGGGAATACCCGAAGGAGCCGCCCGCCGGCTCCCGCAGCTCCGCCAGTCTCGCCGCCTCCCCGGCGCACGCTGATGACGCGCGCCCGGCGCCCGCGGGGCGGGGCGGGCCGGGCCGGGCCGTGCTGCGGCCCGCCGCCAGCTCCGGCTCCGCGCCGTCAGTGGTAATGAGGCTGAGGCAGTAACGAATACTCCGTTCTGGGTGATAGCCACCTGAGGGGAAAAAAAGGAGAAAAAAACCCGCACACAGATTACAGATTATTTTAGGACACAAGCTTCCATACGAATAGCAGCGTCATTTGTCAATGAAGAAAGTAGGCAGCTGCATGGTTAGGTAAAATGAGCCCCAAGGTACCCGGTGTTTTCATTCTTTTATTTAGCTGTACCCAACATATTCGGGATAGACAATGCCCCGCGCCAGATCTGGTCATACGGCTGCGGAGTTTTAAACCACCGAGGTGTTCTACCTCAAGGTCCCCTCTGTTTTCAGAAGCATTTTAACAAAAATTTCGTGGATAAACCCGGCATCTTGATGTTTTGATGCCGTGGTCGGTATCGTATGTACCCGCATGAAGCCAGACTCACACACTACAAACATATATATTGCACATTTTAAGTGTAAGGTTCTGTTATGAAAGAAGTTCATATGTCTGTATTTCCCGATGTACTGAACTAAAACAGTGCAAGATTTGAAACGACCCCGCTTGCTCTTTGTCACTGGCTCCACCTCGCTTGTGGTAGGAATTTTGAGTCTTCAACTGACAGTTTGTATAATTAGGTATCTTTGCTGTATTTCTTTCCTCCCTCCCCCCATGTTTAAGGAATACTATGTTTTGTGAACATGCCAATTTAAACTACTAGATCGTTCTATGGTTCTCTAGTTTAAGGAAAGATCTCTTTCTGTTTCTCAATATTGAATAAAAATTGTTTCCTAAGCATCCAAATTAGTACGGATGAGGTTTTATCAGTTGTAATTCATTGATGTTCTCCTACCAGCAAATCACCTTCATATAGGACTTGTATCTTCCCTAAAATGGACTCAGGTAATAATAAATAGTTGTAGTTTTCCTAATTCTGTGTTTAAATTAAACATAATGAAATCAGCAATGGCTTCAGACTTGCTTCTTCACACTGCTCTTTAAGAATAAAGCTACACGTAACTTTTGGAATGTTAGAATGAAGCACGGGCAAGAAAAATGGTTTGTAAAAGGCAGAGGTATTGTTATAGGTCACTACTTGCATCCACTCCTCTGCTACGGAGCCGCTGGTATGGGTGGATACCAAGAGGTTTAAACAGAAGAGAAAAACAGCCTGATCTCTATCTTTCTTGGTAAACGCATGGTAGGAAATTAACAAATCCTAAAAAGGCAAATAGCACCCCCCCCCCCGCCCCCGGTATTATTTCTCTAGGCTCGTTAGTATTTTAAAAACGCATTTGTCAGCCGACAAATTTAAAAGGACTTTTTAAATATATCTCCATGAAGAATTTAGTTAATCCTCTGAAAATAATGTTTCCATTATTAATAAAGAAATAATGTAATTGTTTGATTATCGGCATCCTTTCAACATTCACTTGGAAAAATAGGATGCTTTACCAGATCTTAAAGCTTCGGTTACTTCAGCCGTTTCCGATAAAATCTGTCCCTTACGTACAAGAGGAGAGCTTTGGTTAGTCCCATTCCCATCTGCCGGTAAATTCTAGCCCTAAAGATGCTCCTTCGGATTTAGAGTAGCAGAGAGTGTTGAGACTGTGTGAGAGACTCCCACTGTACTGTAAAGTGAACTAATTCTTAGGGAATGGGTAGGCAAATGAGAAGAAAGACATGTGTGTCGAGATGGGGAAGGCACAGGGGGACAGGTGCTTTATACAGGGGAAGGAAATGCAGCCGCAACCGAGCGCAGTGAAAGTGTTGCAGAATGTCTCAGCTCGTTTCACTTGTTAGAAGTAGCGTTCTCAGGTTTTGGTTGGGTTTTGTTGTTGTTGTTGTTGTTGTTGTTGTTTTTGTTTTGTTAGTTTTTTGTTTCTTTTTGTTAAAACACACTTTGTAGTGTGATTTCTGTGTATTGCATAAAATGTCGCAATTACGACTTGTTAAATTTCTTGGATATTTTTGATCCAGCTCGCATAAATCCATCCAGGTTTGAGTGATGGAGACAGAGCTCGCAGCGGCTGTCCCACTAGTAAGCTTCCAGGTTTACTGAGAAGGTATTTTATAAAAAAAGTACAGATATTTAAAAACCAATTTTATTCAGTTCCTGCGAAACAGACGGTACTACAGAAAGCACTTTCAGAAAAGTTCTACTACCCTAAAGAAAGTTTTTAATGTTTTCTCCTTTTAAAAAGGAAGGGGGAGATACTCCAAGAGCCTTTCCCTTTTTATGGCCCTTTTTAGCCATAACTGTTACCTTGTAGTCAAATAAACCGATATTCTTTCCCTAAAAATGTCGGTTTCCACCGGCTCTGGGTAGGGAACTTTTAACCCCTTATTTCCTCGGGGCCCTCTCAGGCAGCCTCACACCAGGAGGAGCGGAGTTGCCAAAGGGGAAGGCTGAGAAATTGCCAGATCCTACGAACAGGGGTTACGTTACTTAAACCGGGAGTTTGCTTATTAAAATGTAGGTGTTGCTTTTAGAATCGGTTTTAGGTCTGACGTTCCCCATCCCGCCGGTGTGAAGCCTCACGTTATCCTTACCGAGCCCAGAAAAAGCAGCCATCCATGTGGTTGTAGTTTTGGCAGTTTTATGTTTGGGTTTATTTTAGTATACAGAAAAACTAAAACCACAGCACAACTCAGCCGCCAGTTTCTGAATTACTACAAGATTTTTAAGAAATTAAACGGGAGTAGCCCGTAGGCCGTTCACGACAGGACAAGGTGTGGAAAATGTGCTCTCCCCGTAGCCAGGGAGAATGGTCCTTCCTGGAATCTCTGGCAATAAGTACATGGGGAGATTTGAGGAGAACCTACGCGGTGCTGGAGTCGGAGATCCTCCTCCCGACTGCTTTGAAGGTGATGTACTTAACAAACTGTCTGTGACTGTTTAGTCCTGGGCTGTCGGGTAAAAAGGTGCTAATTAACTCAAATTAACTAGCGCCCTTATAACCCAAGCTCAAAGGCTGTGGTGCCGATAAGGATTATTAGCTGTGAATGCCTCAGGCACCCCTGAGCCACCCCTTAGCGCCGGCGCCCCTGCGCCTCCGCCCCCCATTCCCCTCCACCGTAGGGAGCGGAGTGGGCTCTGGCAGAGGCGGGAAAACCTCACCCTCGCTGCGCTCCTCTGGAGAGTAGAGCAGGGGCAGGAGCGATTCGGGGGCGCTTTAACAGTGGGCTGGGTGCGGCGGGGGCCGCGGGGCTGAAGTATAAAGCGTGAAGAGCGGGGCAAGCCTCGCCGCTGTTCCCTCACGTCCCCGCGGGGCGGGCTGGGCACTCCCGGTCTCCTCAGGCTCCCGGCCGGGCCAGCGCGGAGGGGGCGGGGAGGCAGCGGTTGGTCAGGGCGGGTAGTTCAAAGCCGAGCGAGGGAAAGCGGCGGCGGCACGCGAGGGGCCGGTGTGGGTGGGGAGAGCGAAGCGGCTCCTCGCCAAGGGCAACGGGCCCCGGGCCGGGCGGCGAGAGCGGCTGAAGTTTCTCCAGCCCGCCTTCACTCCTGCTCCTCGCTTTCAGCCCCGCTCGGGGTGCCCCACCGCCGCCTCAGCTGCTCCCGGTGGGAGGGCGGCCTCCAGGCTCCGCTCCTGTGCCCACCGGTTTGCCCGGCGATAAAGCGAAGCGGTTGCTTTGCTTGTGTCCGGCATCCCAGGGGACTGAGAGACCCTCGGGTGCTGGTCCTCAGCTGCGTCTCAATTATCGCCATCGCTGGGTAATTAGGCATTGCAGTTAACACATATATTTGTGGAGTGAAAGCTCTCAGCTGCGTAATGTTTCTCTTGCACCTCTCTTTTCTCTCCACGTCCTTTCTCACTTCAGGTCATCACTAGGGGTAAGCAATACTTTGAATACACCGCTTTTGCATTGGAAGATCTTGATTTGCTTCACAAATTAGGGTAAGTGACCCACATCATGCAGACAGGACTTGGCTGTGTCATCTTCAGTATTATTACTAGGAAGGTATCAGTGACTTTGGGGCCAAAGAGCGGAGTCTGTTTTACTGCAGATACCATATCTATTTAAATAACAGCAAAAATACTTCTGTATCACCAAGACTTTGTCTATTTTGTTAGCAGTGTCACCACAGTGGTTTTTAAAAAAAGGCAGAAAATGTCTTGTTCAATGCATAAGTGTTCTGTGTGTATTACTGAGGAATATAAGTTGCTAGGAACGGGTGTGACTCCATCCTAGAATTTATGTCTACATTGGAGATACCATTTATATTACCTTCTAGTAACCAACATTTTCATCTCTTTAGGGTGCTTGGGAAGACTAAACTTGTTAGAAATTATTCCTTGTCCAAATCTGCGAATCCTGCCCTAAATTTAGTTTGAGTCTCTGAATATTAATTATTTTGTCCAGTAAACTCCCAGAAAATTTGCAGTTGATTTGTAAATTGATTTGAGAATGGCAAAATTAATAATAGATATGAGAAACGCACACAAATCTGTCCTTAGTACACGTGGATTTTGTTACTTCCTCTGTAACTGACTAGTGGTGTGACCAGCCTTTCCTTCCTGGGACATCTGTTTGATGACATCTAACACAAGGCTAATAAAACTTTCAGGAACTAGTTAAAGATCCCCAAATGAAAAAGGTGTGGTGTTATGGCTCAAATTTAGTAGATGAAATTCTCATAATAAAAAAGTGTTTATAAAAGGTAGTGTTATAAGAGCTTTTGTTATATATCTCTTATGAATAGAAATAGAATCTTGCTCTATTATGGGAAATGTTCAGCACCTCTGAAAGGCTTTTCCTTTTGTATTTGTAAAATGAGACCTAGTGTTAAATTAAAACTTAACTTGTACAGGTACTACATTTTGGAAAAAAATCATATGCAAGCTTGAGGTGTATACTGGAGTTTG